AATAAGAGTTAATGGAAACTCAAGAAGATAATGATATTCTGGTCATTCCAGGTGTATTTTAACTTTTGTTCACAACTGTACATAACAAATCTGTACACACACCATTAAAAGCCATTAAAGGGACCTATCCAACGCTCAATTATATATACAATTGCAAGATAAAAATGCTAACTTACTGGTTTAGGTAAACCTTTTGAAATGCAAACATTATTTAGATGCATTTGATTGAAATAATATATTTTCTTTCACCATGAGATGAGTTCAGACTAAATTCAAGTCATTGTAATGAAATTAAATTAGCTGGATAACTTTATTGTTTTTCAGTCTGAGGTCAGGATTTTATCTCCCTTTCCCTATGTACTAAACATGCCTAAACAATATCAGATGGTTCAGATTGTGTGTTAGAGGTCCTGTAGGCTGAACAAATATGACAGAAAGGGCACTTCACAGTGAGTATCATGTCACTCATGTATGAAATTTAGGTTACACCTGCTCATACAGTTGAATTACTATTGTACTACTGCACATAGCGAATACTAGTGTTATGCCCTGGCCTTGGGGAACCTTTGACACAACATGAACCGGTGCTCCACCAGTCTTCCCACTCCAAGAAAGGACAGCAACATCACTAAGCCAAGTTCAGAATGAGCAGTTTTTATTTACTTCAGAGGAAGACATGACAACATAACAAACAAAAGTACTGTAAAACTAACCAACTATCTGATTACTACTGTTCCATCTTTCTATAACACCAAGCAACAATGACGTGACATGCTGACGTTTCCTGGTAGTGGAAAGGTTGGAGAGGAGACTGAGTGTAGTTGGGGGGCTGTTAGAGGACCCCCTGACCAATCACGTGGCACAAATTGGCGAGGCAGCCAATCAACGGACACCACCTGCTCCTAATTCACTCATTCATCAGAAAGACACACACACATACACACAACAAGGACAGAGGGAACACTGCAGCAAAACACAGGCAAAACTACAACTAAGCCACAGGTTCACAACACCAGTCATATTTAGCAGTGAAAGTTGACCGTCTTTTCCTTCAGATTCGAGAACTAGTGGATAAAAATGTCTACGTTTTATTTGACAGATCAGCTCAGATAGAGAGAGTTTATCATGCCTTTTTATAATTTGTCTGAGAATTGAAACTTGTGTTTTTTGTGTGTTTGTGTAATTTAAATATCAGGTGTTGTAATGCACAATTGCAATTTAAAACAAAAAAAGTTATTTGCTAATAATTTGGTTGTTGATTTAATTAATTTGATCAAAGTTAGTTGGTTGAAAATAAATTCATTAGAAGTTTTCATATTCCAAAGAATAAAAAATAAAAAATGATGTAAACTGTTGCCAAACATATTTTTTTAGTGTATGTATTGTTAAATATATAAAATATAATCAGTTCTCATGTATAGGTGTTCTTGCCACATTTTGTTTAAGATCCCACAAGTAAAGACAAAAAGAGTGGCAGCAATCTCAGACTTATTTCTACTGGCCATTATGATGTTGTTCTTTTTCAAAAATTCAGAAAGGACTAATAGTCTTTAACAGGACTCAGAGCAAAGCTCTCATCGTATCATTTTCACAAGGAAAATGCACTTTGAAATGATTGTCCTTGTCTCAGGGGCTTTGAGCACACGTGTTATTGACATACTGTAAAATACATTGTGGATTTGGTTAATAATCCCTTTTTACTGGCAAAGCTGATGATCTCAACACAGGTGGGAACAAAAATACCTGCAGATCATCAAACAAACGAACATTTCATTATAATGTAAATCAAAGTGCAGAGTGTGGCATAACTAAAGCTCATACAATTCACAGATGATGAGACTCATGAGTGTGATTGGTTGGACAACCTCTAATTCTCAGCAAGGTCACAGATTCTAGTCACTCCAGGTTGGTGCTCAGAGCTGTACAAAGACAGATGTGGTCTTTGTAGGGAAAGGCTCAGCTTACATGTGTGGTTCAGGACTATAACTCTGAGACACCATCAATATTTTTTATTACCCACATCAGAGCAGTGAAATCACATCCTTTTTGGGGTCAGGGTCGGGCAATTTGGTTGAACAGAAATGTACAGCTGCACCTGAGCTAAATATTACTTTTAAAATGAGCTTTTAAAGAGAAGAGTTATCTGCATAAATGTGGCCATCACACCTGTTGTTCTTTTAAAAATTCTTTAGACAAAGCAGTCAGGGTGGAGTCTATCTAAAAACAGTTTTTTAGTTTCTGGAAGATCCATGGGGGATTTGACTCAAACTACAGCACTGTGAGGCATTACTGTGAGCTGCTCATGGAAATAGACTTGTGTTCATAACAAAGCTCTGTTACTTTATTCACAGTACGGAACAGCAAACAGAGTTATGAAGATTACTGACAATTTATTTTTTCTTTTAATCCAACTACAAATTCTAGCCAAATTTAGACATGAGCCAATTACAAAAAAGTCTGACCACCTCTGATGTGAGAGTTGTCAGCTGAGGGCTTGATGTGACTGGAACATTAGAAGTAGAAAGACGTTTAGAGTAAGCATGCAGTGTGATTTATTCAAGATATCATATGATCAGGCCTTGAAATGACAAAATGACAGCCTGAACAGTGGAAAAAATTTCTTAAGCTATTCACACTCTAACTGTAACCCTAAGATTAGGATGTATGAGTAAACCAACCTTTAACAAGAAAGCAAGACTCATGTTTCGTATTTACCTCACAAGCAACTCCCACCACTACGTGTCCTCCTCATGGTCAAATCTCATATCAGATTTACGAGATCTTTTAGCTCCAGTGCATCAGGACGCATATTTCACTCTTTACTGTGTCTTTATTTTTTTTCCTCTTAATATACTATATCATCTCAGCAACAAATTTTCTTTTAGTTCTTTCCATCTTGAGTTCAATGTAAACTTTGCTGTAGAACTGTACCAGTCCCTCTGCTAGGAAACCTTGGGTCCTGGAATTCATGTGGCTGTTACTTTGACAAATAACACCCACCTAAACATTGTCACAAACAAAGCAAACTTCACAGTATCAGGCAGGTGGTTTTAATGTTTTTGGCTGATAGGTGTGCGCTGCTAGTGGCACAATACCGCTGTGTCATAACTACTGAAGAATGCATCTGGTCAGTCCACAGCGACTCCGGCCTCCTTTGCAGCATCTCTATCCTCAAAAGAGGCCTGTACGTGGCTCTCCGGCTCTGAAGACAGACCCTTCCTATTGGATCCGATCCCGCAGCAGGTCACAGCGTTTCCGGCCTCATTTACTACTGCTCATGCGCAGAGCCGAGAGCGGCTATTAGTGGTACTATTATTTGATACCAAGTTTTGGTAATTTAACCTTTAAATTGCAGCTTAATGTTGCTGTGTCATTTTGATCTGTTCTAAATATTTGAATGGCACTGAGTGCCCACTGTAGTCTGATTGCAGCTCAACTAAAGCAGCTACAGTTTCACTTTGAGACATGCTTTTGGCTGTTTTTTCCTTTCTTAGAAAAACAAAGTCTATGCTTTAATAGTATGAGGCTTTGGATAAAACCATCTTAAACAAATGTATCCATGCAAATAAGGTATTTCCAAAGAAGTTTAGGAGGAGAGATGGTATCGGTATCGGCAGATACTCAAAGTTGAAGTATCGGTATCGGGAATCAAAAAGAGGTATCGGTCCATCCCTACTCACAGATCAATTTCTAAACCTAAAAACAGTACTTTACACAATGCAGCAAATTAAAATGATCAAACTGTAGAATTATTCAGCCACATTTCTTCGGCCAACGTCTCACTACCCTAGCTGTATACATTCTGTCCACATCGGTTTAGCAGGAAACAAACAATAAAAACTGAAACTGGGTAGAGGCTGGAATGATACTGATGAAAGAAATATAGTAGGCCAGCATAAAAAGTTTAAATGGGAGTGATGTGGTCACAAATCTGAGTTCTGGTTAAAAGACTAGAAGCTGACATGTAATCAGTCATTGCATTCTGTGTATGACAAATAAAAAGGCAGGCACAGTAATCAGTTCTTACTGGGATGTTTAACCATGGGCATCGTACTGCTGCAAACCCTCTGGTGCTCGTCCACGGGGAGAAAGATGCATCGGTCAAAAGTGTTCCACAGAGTCCAATCAAAGAGCCACCATTTAAACAAGGACATCTGCCAGACCTTCAAGGTTTTACTCAGCTCTATGGTCCCTCTGATGATCCTTTTGCCCATCAGTTTTAATGATAACAGAACAGTCAGTAGCCAACTGAGCATAAGGCACATCACACTATTACTGTAGTAAAAAAGAAAAAGACAGATGTATAATAGTTGAACAACTGTATATAAATGAATCAGTTCGTTTTATGGTTTTATTTGAAACATAATTTGGAGAAAACTTGGAGAATTTTAGATTGCTCTTTATTAAGGTCTGTAGTTTACACTGATATAGTTCTGATGTAGCACATATTTGCTTCAATGCCTAAAAATTACTCAGCGGTATTTATGGTATAACATGACCCATGTGGATGATGACCCCAAAACTGAGATAGTGTCTGGTGTCTCAGTGTCAAATATTGTGATAAAATTTCACCAGTGACAGATGTTTCCCTTCTGCTTGGTTTTGGTATTTCTGTCATTAGATCATTCAAAGCAGAACTTCTGGTATTTT